GAAGATCCGAAAGATACTAAATTGGATGAAATCAAGTGATCTGAGGTGTCAAGTGATTAATTTGTTGATCACTACGTTAATATTATAAATCATAATTCAGGAGTTCATGATGATCAAATGGATACAAAATTAAGATAATGGAAATACTTTAAAACAATGGAAATACTTTAATAATTTAAATCCATGAATCGAAATTATGAATTTAGTTACACAAAAACAAACATAAAAGGGCGTGAAGATCACCTTTTGGAAAGGACAGAGAGAGAGAGAGAGAGAAAATTGGACGAATTTTGTTATGAATTATTTATTTTATTATTTAATGTTATTAAACCAAGCATATTATTGTATTTATTTAAATTATTAATAAAGAGTCATTTTGTTAATACCTGAGGTGGCAAACATAATTCTCTATGGGCTCAGGTGTTACAACGCATATCATAAGTAAACGAAATTCTCTGTTTAATTGCCGATCCGCCTAAAATCGGCACTGCGTTACTAATAAAATTCGGGGTTAAATTTGCCGATTTTGTGCTAAGAACACAAACTTCAAAAAAGGATTTCTCATAGATGACATATTGACTATAAAAAAAAAATCATATGATATACTGAAAAAATATTTGAAAAAAACGAATTTGCAAAAAAAAGTTATACATTCGTATGCAAAATAATGAGTTTACTATGCGCGCGCGTCAGATTTACACCTTAAAATATACGAAATTTCAATATTTCATTTTACTATATTGCATTATTTACAATAAAAACCTATAATTTTTAGCTTCTAAAGTTGGTTTTAAAAGCTTTTTTAAAATATTTTTATTATTAAAAACAAGTGAAAGTTGAAGAAAACCAGTTACAGAAATATAATTATAAAATTTTTTGGCAAATATGACTTGTCATAAAATGAAAGAAAATATTGTTTTTATGATATTTCTGTTTGTAAAATGGGTGAAACTTATTTCGCGCGCGAGATGCAAAAAATGCTTTTTTTTTATTATCGCTATTATCCCCGAATTTTATTAGTAACGCAGTGCCGTTTTTAGGCGGATCGGCAATTAATATTCATCTGTATCTTGCTTCAAAAAAATCCAAAATTTACATTATAACTTGGCTTTAAAATGGACAAGAAGAACACATTATTGAAAGATATATTTCCATACCACCTCAAACATTATGGAACCTATTATTTTATATATTTATTATAATAATAAGCAAATCAATAGTCTAGAAAATTATTTGGTTAGTCAAAAATACACGTATTCCAAGGTTTTCTCAACGAAAAATTAAAAAATGAGAAATGATCGTCACTTGTGACATTTAGAATAATAAATATTAAGAATTTTTAAAAGTAGGATGTATTGCTTCCATAAATGCAAAAAATTTCCAGTTGAATTAAAAATTTCCTTCAAGAAAAAGTTAACAGATTTAATTGTTATGGGGCAATATTTGAAATTACTTTTTTTTATTGCTTTTTTAATGATCATTCCATTATTCAATTTGGTATAACAAATATTAATCTAATCGGGATAGTAATGAAGTTATGACCAAATTAAGAAGCGGCATTCTCGCTGCCATTATTTTCGCCAGGGACTGTAATATAAATGTTTAATTTGTTTTAGCATCCATCTAGAATACTTCAAAAAAAAACAAAAAATTTCTTCCTAAAATTTTTTTAATACCCGGCATAAAACGTGATGAATTGTTTATTAGTACACCACTAGAGCTCAATAATTTTAAACCATTATCAATTTCGAACGCTTATCAATATAGACTATAAACTTTATCTACAATTTATTATGCAAAAGATTATTATTTAAAAAACAAAGAACCAATAATTAGAAATAATTTTCATAAAATTGCCTTATCTGGAAACAATTACGGTACGACAATGATGGTAATACAATGACGATACTGATCTAAATTTATTTTGTCTTATAAAATCATGAATAGAAACTTTATTTTCATTGAGAAACTTGTCATCCATTTTAATTTATTAGAATGATTGATAAGAACCAAGATACCAACCGGTTTTAATAGCTAATTAGAACATTTTGGGTTATTTCGAACAATAGTAAAACTTTTAAATATAACAGTTATTCAGTTCCCCAAATGAAGCAATTCTACAGGTGCAACGATGCTAAATTTTCTTATTTTAAAACTAATTTTACTCCTTTTCAGATACCTTTTACGGAAATGATTTTAGTAATTATCAATTTAAGATTCCGGAGTTCGGAGATAAAAAAAAAAAAAATTCAATATAAATTTAGTCCCTTTAACAGAATTTTTTTTAACCGTCATTATTATAAGTCGGTTTAAAATTTTATCGCCATGCACATTCCTGGTCTTCCCGATAATTTTGGTAAGAGTTTAATAAAAATTTTCGACAAAAGTTTATACAGTATGAAAAATAAATCACGAATGTTATTAAAAATCAATCCGTAAATGGATGATTCAAAATTTTATTACCGTAACTGTGAATTTTAGAAATGAATCACGTGTACGCTATGCATGTTGTAACCGATAACGAATATTTGTGTCCTTCTTCATTCCTTCATTTCATTTTTAGTATATCAAGAGGTTATAGATGATTCTACCGTTCTTATAAATCCTACTCTGGCGCAACAACAAATAACCAACAACCCTTCGATTGTGGAAGATGGAAATGATTCAAATGAATCCGAACTTTCTTCGTCTCAATTTGTGAATAATAACGTCGTAAACCAACAACAACTTGATATTAACAGCTCTTCGAATGTGCAAGGTGGAAATCCATCTCAAAAATTAACAAATGATGATGCAAATCAACAATCACCAATTGAATCACCTCAGCATAATTTAAGTCAAATCATGAATACGAATCCTTTCGGTGATAATAACTCGCAAAGATCGGAAGGACAACAAACTTTCAGGCCTTCGGATCCAATCCAGGATTTAAGTCAAATTATGAATATGAATATTTTTTCAAGTGATAATTCACAAAATGACCAACAAGACTATCAAAATTCTTCCAAAGGCGTGCTTTCTGAAGAACAGTCGACTAGTTTCGCTTTTCCGAAAAGGTCAAATAGCAATAGTTCAATTATAGAAGAAAGTGGTGGAAACGATGCTAACAATGAACTTGATTTCAAGGAAAATATCCGTAGAGTTCTTAAAGCTCAAAAATCTGATTTGGAAACTCAAATTAAATACGGTAAAGACTTGGCCGAACATATTCCAGGGTTATATCGATTGTTAGACTTATGTAAAGACGATGGTTCTAATGGTCTTGGTAAGTTCCTTATATTTATTTGTGAATTTAAATTATAAAACGATTTCTATTAAATTTTCATTTATTTTATTACCACGTTTAGTGGACAAAATAATTATTTCTAAGGGTTCTTTAAAGATACTATGCAACGAAATGATCCCGTTAAGCTTCAAGTCTATTTCTGATATTAACTTTACGAAGTTGAATACGATTTCGCTTCGCCTTATTGGATGTTATGGAAATCATATTTTAATAGCAAAACTTTTATTAAGTAAAAAAATAATAAATAAAGAAATGTAAATATATATATATTTTTTTTCTTTAAAAAAAAATCATCAGTTGTAATTAATTATTAATTTTATTTTATAGATATGACTTGCTTGCTAATTCACAATCTTCCATGGATAAATCTTTCTTACGTCCTGGTTTATACTTGTTACTGGTTAACCCAGACCTGGGTTTAGTTGTTCATTGGCCTGAAATAGGATGTTACGAAGAAAATGCTTCTTCGCAACGTAAGAAGAATATGACCAACCTACATAGGTAATTATATCCGTTTCATCAAAGTCTCGTTACGATCTAATCGATATATATAATTGACGTTGTTCAAACACTATAGATATTTGACGAAGCTTACTGACCATCAACTTTGTCTCATGAGCGATAAAGACTTGGAAAGTTTTGAATGGAATAAGGACAATTCTGATGTTGATTCAGATGATGATGATGACACATGTTATGAGTTTGAAGTCAAAAAAAGTCAAGAGGAACAAGAAGACTTCAAAATCTACCCGGGCTTCGAGGTTTTGATTTAAACTAATTACGTTTAATAGTAGCAATAAATTTTTTCCTGTAAAATAACTAATTTATGAATCATCATATTAAGGTGAATTTATCTGATAAAATCAAAACCGAGATAAATAATAATATTCAAGATGATATACCTTTATATCCAATTGGTATTTAATTTTTTTAAAAAAAGTGGAGGTAGCTTCTTTGAGGTTTAAAAATTTTTTTAATTTGATCTATTATATTTAGTTGTGGAATCGGCCACAAACCAATCGTTTGTTACTCGACAATTGATAAAGACAGCTTCTCAATTACGCTCGGCTGCGCCAATCTTTACTGCGTTTGATTTTCAACGAGAACTACAAACAAGATTAAAAGGGCGGAATTTACATATTAATCGTGAAACAATGAACATGAAATCATTAGAGATTTTAATTAAACATGGATTAAAAATGGAAGATGAGCTTTTAGGTCCATTGCGTAATGCAATAGCTGCTGCGAAGATGAAATATGATAAAAAGAAGGACCAAGAAAAAGACGAAACAAGTAAAGATATTGAGATCATTTCAAATTTGGCATGGAAAAAATTACGCGATAGTTATAGGTATTTGTCGTTTTTACCATTTCTAATTTTATTTGAGTATTAATTCGTATTATTTTTTGTAGTCCTTTTGAAGATTTTATTGGTCAAGAATCTTCCGAACATGAGCATATAAGTGATGAAGGTAATATATTAAATATATTTAAAGTCTTCGATGTTATGCAACTATTTTATGTATTTTATTAATCAATTATGAATTTAGATTTAGAAAGAATTCGTAGAAAATATCCTGACATGGAAGCTCAAATTGATAAAAAAATTTTAATTAATTCCAAAGCTTGGGGTAAACTAAAGAAACGATATGCACTAACTTCGATAATTGTTGTTGATATATTTAAAATGACTAAAAATGCTGGGAAAAGCAATGAAGAAGCTACAATAGAGATTTTTTATAATATGTTCGTAGATGAAGAAACTGATACACATAAATTAGTAAAAAAACATACTGAGAAACCACAATCATCTGGAGTTTTTTCAGGGATCTCTAATTTGTTTACGGCTTTTTTGGATATTATAACTTTTTCTAGTTCAAGCATTAATCGTGCAGATGAGGAGTCGATTAAAATATCCAAAACCATGTCGGATAAAAAATTTGTACAAGATCTTGCCAATTCACCGTTTTTTGGAAAATTTAATGATATCAAACAAAAAATTCTGGGTATTTTCTTTGAAGAATACCAAAATTGGAGAAAGAATACTTTTCCTAGTAACATTAAGGAAATTTTGCCAAGAGTTTCTTTCAATAAACAATTATCAGAAAGATTAACCAAAGAATTTGAACAAGAGAAACAAGAAATTGAGGATTTCGAATTTGACAGAATTTGTAATGTCATAGAAGAAAAATATCAAGATGGGTAAATAAGTCCTAATTCATTAGTTGCTAAATTGTCATTACCTTTATATATTACTCATATAAAAAATTACGTAATATAGGTCTATGCGACTAAATATACGAAATATATCAGGTAATAATTTATCAACTTGAATATATATTAAGCACGTGTATTTATATTTTGTTTATTTTCATTTTACTATTATTAGTTTCTGAAAGTTTGTTTTCAAACGGATATCGCTTCTATCATGAAATTGAAACAACTCAACCAAATCAACTACAGATAACAATTTATGAAACATCGTTAGAACAGGCAGATATCCTTCAACTTCAAGAAGATGAATTACATGTTCCAAACCCAACTTTACCTTCTCATTATAGTCGTGGACAATCATTTCATCTTGATCCTCAAGTCTATGACTTTAGGTAAGAAGATTATTACCTTAATTTTAGTTTTAATATGAAAGGAAAATCTAATAATATATTGGTTATAGGAAAATATCACAATTTGATAATCATAAATTCCTTCTTGTTTTATGGAACAAAAGAGCATCAAAAACTGAAATATTCTTTGATACTGCTCAGAAACTAGCACAAAATTTCAAACAATCTTATTCAAATAGGCCATTTAAGACATTAAATATGGATGAAAATTATTTTATTGCAGTAAATGAATCCAAAGAGTTAATTGCTATATTTGATACAAGGAAAGTGGTGGTAAGTTTCGAAGTTTTACGGTTTTATAATTCTAAATCTCATGAAATTAATTTCTATTTATCATCTTTTTAAATTAGTTAAACGTTTTTTCTTTCAATGATGGTCAAGCAAATTTATACTCGCGAAATTCAAACATCCAGTTATTACAATGGTATAGTGGTGCGGTTCCGGATATTCAATATTTCTTGTTTATTCAGGACACCGAAGATCTGTGTTTCGTTGAAAAAGGTGGTCGTGCACGTATATTCAACCTTGTAAATCAGCAATTTCGGCCGGCAGTTTGTAACCTTCCACCAAATACAGCAAATGTTTTAAGTTCTCCAGATGGTTCTTGTATTGTAGCGTTTGTGAAAGAAAAAATAAAAGTCAAAAACTCTACTAATGACGAAAATGAAACCGATGAGGAAGACAATTTAACCGATGATGAACAGGATTCTACTAATAGAGGAAGCGATCTTAAGGAGATATGCCGTGCATATGTTTATTTTTGTACAAATTTTGGAAGTTCAGTTAGTAAAGGTTTGCGATTAAATTTTAATATTCACTTATACAATGCTTTGAAATTATTAGATTAATATTTAATTATTTCTATTCTTATGTTTATAGTTATCGATTTACCGCCAACTATTCAATCCTTAGAATACTTACATTTCACTTGTATAAATAAACTACAAATCCACTTGATGTCATTGGATTTGGAAAATGGATGTTTTAATTCGATAATAGTAAAAATTACTGTAGAGAGAACTCAATATCGTTTCCAAGAACGCGTACAAAAACAATCGCTTGGACTCGTTAAAGTCTCTCACAAAAACTTTAAGTATACTATTATTGAAGGAAAGAATACTCGCTTTGAGAAAATTGTTCAAAATGGAGAACATATTGTAATTTTGGGAGAAAAATATAGTGTTCTTGAAGTTCTTTCTGATACAGAGTTAAAAATTGATGGAAATTTTAAACAAAAAAATGGATTTGACAAATGGATGGAATTCCGTATTGATCCTAATACAAATCTTAATGGTCTTATCGATGCTTACGGATTAATGTTTGAGAGATATTCAGTGGAGAGTTGTATTGATTCCGAACAGAACCGTCCTCTTAGTTTAAAAATAGTACTAGATGTCGATAATGATATTGAAAAATATGGCGAGAAGTTTGAAGACTATATTATTGAAATGTTCAAGAATTTAAAGCGTTCTACAAAAAAACCAACATCAATATTAGAGGAATTTACTACATCCGTTATCACATTTCAAAAGCTTGATGTCGAAAATGCAAAATTTCAGAAGAAATTTTCAGCAAAATGTCAATTAGGAGAGTGGATCATTCAACTATGTTGTTTAATTCCTATCCAAATTGCTGTAGCAAGAAATAACTTGTTTCAGCCACTTAGAGATGGATTATCCTCGAATGATGATCATGTTGGACTTGACGATGATGGTGATGATGGTTATGGTCTCCATGTAGATGGTATAGCCAAGAATATTTCTTTTGGATGGTATGAAGGAATTTTCAAGCACTTTGGCGATAAAAAAGTTAAAGTTGTTTCTAGTATGGGTGAGCAATCATGCGGAAAATCGTTCATGCTAAATCATCTTGTCGGAACTACTTTTGACGGTTCTGCAATGGTAAATTTTAATTATTATCAGATTAATGTTTCTCTTTAAAATTATTAAATTAAATTTAATTTTTAGCGTTGCACCGAAGGTGTATGGATGTCGTTAGGTAAATTTATATGTATTTATATATTTTAATTGAGATCATAAATTAAACTTTTTTATCTTTCAGTAAATACAAAGAAATATATTTATGTTGCACTCGACTTTGAGGGTTTAAAATCCCTCGAGAGAACTCCGCAAGAAGGTAATTATTTATACATATATGTTTTTTGAAGTGTTCATTATAATATTATAATAATAATAATTTCTTACATGTAAATACATATTAGATTTATTTTTAACACTCTTCAATACAGTTGTGTCAAATCTTATTCTTTTTAAGGTTAAATATAATTTTTTTATTATTATAATAATCATTAGTTCTTTATACATTTTGTTAACATAATTGAAAATTTAAAACAGAATCAATTTGCAGTAAATAGAGACATGTCGACAATGTTTCAAAGATTTCAAGATGGCGCGACGCTGTTTGAGTCAGATTCAAAAATATTTCAGGTACAATATTGTTTAGACTTGAACCGTAAAAAAAATTTAGTTTATTAATATTTTTATTGATTATTTAGGCAAAACTTTGTATCATTATAAAAGATGTTCCTAGTGCTGACAAAGAAGACATTGTTAGAGAATTCAGGTTAAAATTTAGTCAATTGGTTTCGGAGGTATATTTATTACTATAATATTGTTTTTTGGGGGGAAGGTCATTTCATTCATTTTATTTTATTATAATGTTTTAGGAGGGTGAAGACAACTTTATTTCAAGAATGTACAAAGGGGGACTAGACATTATTCCTTGGCCAATGTTTAATGATGCATCATGGTTTAAAACCTTATCAAAAGTTAATAAGAAGTTGGATAAGCAAGAAGCAAAATATGAAAATGCTAGGACTTTTTTGCAAAATACGAAAGTAATTATGGCTAAATTGAAGGTTTGTAGATTTTATATAACATCTAACGAAATAATAATGATATAAAAATTATTAATTTGTATATGTATACTTCAGATATGCGATTGGGGTTCATTGGACGAAAATCTTATACAGATTCGTGTTGCAACCCTAAAAAGATTACTTCCAACCGTTGTTGCTTATGGTTTGGAGCAGAAAGATTCTGTTAACGAACAACTTATGGTAACACGTTTTTGCTTGTATTGAAATATGTAAATTGAATTATTTATGTTATTCTTTTTTCAATAGGATCGCGATTCTGGAGAACCAATTGATGATCAAATTGTCATCCTATCTGATATTTTAAGTGACTACGAAGGATCTACTAAAATATTACCAGATTCTGATATCCAGTTATATGACGAACACGAGTCTTTCGAACGACTTTCTGAAGATTTAAGATGTTATTTTGAAGATTATGTGCAACCACGAAAAGAATCATCTAATGATAGAGAGTGGTTTGCTAATTTTGAAAAATTCTTTAGATATATTATTGAACGTCGCGTTTTGCGTGTTCAAAATTGGTATGTGAAAAATACTGCTAAATTTCCACAAGATAATAATGATGTTGTTAATGGAAAGTATGCAATGGAGCAAGAATTAAGCAAGCTCACACTCCTATGGACTTTGTGTGGATTAACATGCCATCAATGTGGTTTGAAATGTGTCAAAAATCGGGATCACAAAGAAAATCATGACTGTTTAACCGATCATAAGTGTCATTTTTTTTGTCACTTTACTGAAGCCCATAACGACAATTTAATCCCGAAATGCAGTCACAAAGCTGGACATGAAGGAAAACATGCTTGTGACAAAATAAGCCATTTATGTGGTAAACCATGTAGTCTTGATGACAAGCGCAATTGTCAGAAAGTTTGTTCAAAGGAAATCGGACATGATGACAGTGAACATTTATGTCAATCAACAATTCATTATTGTGGAAAAGATTGTTCGTTATCAACACATACACAAGATGAAGATTACCAATGTCCGAATAAATGTATTAAACCATACGAAGAAGAGCATGATTCGCATCGTTGTGAAAACCCAATTTGTCCAATTCAATGTCCAATTCCAAATTGCAAGGAAAGGTGTCAAAGTGATGATCATTTTCATGCCTTTTCCGACTTACAGGTTAATCATTTTTGTGGGTATGTATTATTGTAATCTTTTCTTTTTTCTTTAAAATGTTATTAATTAAAGAAAATCTTTTGATTATTAAAGTAATGAGCATCAATGTCGTGAAGATTGTCAAGATGATGGTATATGTCAAGTAGTGACTGAACCTAAAAAGCAGGAAGAAACTTATAAGGGTTTAGTCAAGGAAACTTCTATTACATTTACAAAGGTATAATTTAGAGCGTATAAAGTTATTAATGTATAATATAAAAATGTATTAATTCTTGTATATTCTATTGTAATAGTATATTCAATTAAGTGAAAGATTAAAATGTAATAAAAAGATTCCTCCTAATGAATTTACACATACTGGAACACATACGCATAAGGAAAATGGATTTCATTATTGTAATGCACAGTGTAAATTCTGTGAATATTATGTGTGTATTACGCAATTTTATATTTATTTCATATTTTTTTTTCTTTTTTTTAATCATAATTAACAATTTCTAACATTAGTGTACATTACCATATGGCCACGCACAACAAACTCATGAAACGAGACATGGAAATATGACTCAAACTGAATTCACAGGAGAAGATAGTGAATTTGAATATGCAGGGTATGAAATATCAAACATTAAAAGAAAATCTATCAGACATGATGTCTTGTTTTTTTTATTAAATATTATTCAATTATTAGCCATAAATTGAGAGTTGGTGATCAAGGAACATTTGTTCTCTGCAATTTGGCAAGTATTATATAAATTTCTAAATTATTTATATTACAATTATTTTCCTTTAAAATAATTTGTCTTTTCTCTATATTAGCATTGTAAAGATTTAGGTAGACATCGTCATATTGATTACTGCAAAAACGAGGAAAATTGCAAATCAGGAAACCAAGGGCAAGGGCAAGATATACAACATATTAATGGTAATTATAACACTTTTTTAGGTTACTGTCTAATTATCTGTTATTTATTAACGATCTAATGAATTTTAGAAAAAGTACAACCTAATCCCGAGAAACCGAAAGATTTTATATCTCACAAACTTTTCTGGGAGCGAACAGGTTTCAAAGGTGCATATTAAAAAATATTTTTAGTATCTATTAATTATTTTAATACGTGTATTTATAATTTATTAATTAATATATTTACTTGATATTAGATCCTTATACTGTTCAAGAACAACAAGAATTTACAAAATGTGATCATGAATGCCCCGATGAAAAGCATCATAAATCTCAAGGATCAAGTGCTCCTCCTCCAACTAAATCATTTTGCGAATTACAACTTTTTCATGCTCCGCTCAGTCCAAGTTCAAATCCTCCAAACGGTTATGGGTATATATCTTTAGATGGACATCATTTTAATTGTGAAAATCCAAGTACACGTGAAGCCGCTTTTCATATTATTTTTGCATTGGATCGTTCGGGGTCTATGAGTTACAATGACAAGAGGCCAATTCCAAACTTTCCAATTTACAACAATTTAATACGAAATCATAATAATAGGACTGGTGCAGTTTATCAAGCGGTAATATTAAGTATATGATTTTGCAAGACCTTTCTTAATTTTAAACAAGTAAATTTTTTAATATAGGTATATCAATTTATGGAAGCACGTATAAATTCTGCAAGGGCAAATCAAAATCAATTGTCATCAGCTATGCGTGATAGTGTTTCGTTAATCTTATTTGACCATGAGGTTTCTAATTTTATATTTGAATTTAATTCATATTTGTTTTTATTACTAAAGTAAATCAATAAATGGCAGGTTACTGTTCCATTTGAAAATCGAGATTTAACAGATCCAAAAGATTTGTTAAATTCAATGCTCCAACACCAAGCTCGCGGCGGAACAAGTTTTGATCTTGCGATTCAGAAAGCTGGATTTTTGATTACAAAATATTTTGATAATTCAAAGTAATAGTTTGAAATTTTGTAGGTTAAAAATATAGGTACTCATTACTCATTCAATATAATGATTTTTTTTTAGAGCAAATATCGTTATCTTCTTATCCGATGGACTATGCGGTGTTCCAGCAAATCAACTTCATACTATTTGTAATCAAAATAAAACGAGGGGGTAATTTATTATTTTATTTATTTTGTTTTTTTCTAAAATAAAGAAAATTTATTTTTTTTAATTAAACCGAGTTATCTTTGAAAATTTCAGATCTCCGTTATATCTTTATACGGTACTATTTAGCAGTGAATCACAAAGTAATTCTTTAGAAGAAATGGCGAAGATTGCACAATCTTATCATCCTGCAAATACTTCATCTGGAGCTCTACGATGTCAGTTTACTCGTACTGTTAATGAAGTTAATTTAGTTAATCATTTCACTGGGGTGGCAGAAAGTTTAAGAAAACATAAACCGGCTTTGTTAAAGAAGAGTTAGAGAAGAATCTTATTTCTTAAACATATTCAAGCAAATTTTTCTAGAATTATTCAGATATTTTCTTGATAGAATACATATTTCATGTTTTTGTATCCCTTTAATCCTTTTAAAGAATAATGTTATAATACTCACTGTTAGAACGTAGAATATTTTTCGATGACATTTTTTCTTTGAAATTTTTCGTACGAAATTACGTGCTCACGAATTATTATTATTTTTGAAGAAATTGAAAATGAGATAGTTTAGTTTAAAATTATAATATTCAAGGAATTTTCAGTAATTTTTTTTTAAGCCCGTCGATCTTTATTGAAACATATTGAATAAAAAAGAATATGGCCTAGCAAATTTGTTTCATGAAGAATCACAGTACCAAACTCCACAATTATATAATTTTCGGTAGGGTAACTAGTGGGTAACTCATATATTGTTCGGCTATAAACTGTACGTGAATTTCATCTTATTCGTCGGGAAGATTATATCATTGAATGATAAAGGTTTTCCTTTTTTTGTCGAATTGGGAAACAACAATGAGTCATGATTTAAATTTTTTTTCTAGATTATCAAAGCAACTTATAGTAATAATTTGATAAATTTGATCATTTAAAGCTAATAGCAAGTAATTTTTTCCAAAAGTGATTAGTTTATTTAGTGTGGGCAAAAATTGTTTTAGACGCGTTTATGTTACGAGTATTAACTAAGCCTAAAGCGAAAATTTTAGTCATAAAATAATCTAATAATAAAAAAGATCATTTTTGGTAACCAAATTTGTTGTAAGATATCAGTTTCTTTTTAAAAGCGTATTAATTTAATGAATTCAAACAATCGTATCTATTCTACTTGGTAGTGACTATTAACCGCTCATCATGAGAAATTTTTGAGGGGAGAGTAACTTTATGAGTTATAACGTATAAAAAAAACTTTATATAAAGGATTTATCTTCAGAATGAAATCCTTTTAACCGAAATTTTAACTATTTCGGTTTTCAAGAAATTCAGTTATGCAAATCACTAATTCTGCCCAACTTCCCGATAATTTTGGTAAGAATTTGGATAATAATCATGTGATAACATGTGATATTAAATTTGGTTGTTTTTCCATTCATAAGAATATCAGGAAAATGAAGACATAAATGACTCTACTATTCTTATCGATCCTTTATTACCATCTGCAAGCATTCCTTTAGAGCAACAGCAAACCAACATCGAACATAAAAATCTTTCAAATATACAGGATGGAAATGAAATCAAAGCTCCTTCGCCTCAATTAGTAAATAATGACGTCGAAAACCAATCGGTTAATTTACTTCAGCAAAATATAAATCAAATTATGAGTATGAATATGAATCTTTTTAACAGTAGTAACATGCAAAGATCGGAAGATCAAAGACTCTCAGATCAAGTTCAGAATAATGATAACTTAATCTCTCATGATCTTAATAAAATTATGAGTTTTTCCAGTGAAAACTCTCAAAACGATCATCAAATTTATGAAAATGCTATAAATTTCCGAGCTGATGGAATTTTGTCAAAAGAATCTCGGGACCAAAATGTAATTCCAATAGGCATTGACGAAATAACGAATACGGACATATTCACTATCAAAAATGAAACTGAGATGCAAAAGAAATCTTCTGATTCAACAATTGGATCAAGATCAGCTCATTTTAATAACAGTTCGATGGTAGAAGTTAATTTTGGAGATATTAAGAATAAAATTGATTCTAAGGAAAATATCCGTAAAATTCTCGAAAATAAAAATTATTCGAGTACCAAAATTAAATATGGTAAAGACTTGGCTGAATGTATTCCCGGGTTATATCGCTTGTTAGATTTATGTAAGGACGACGGTTCGAATGGACTTGGTATGTTCTTATATTATTTAGCAGTTGCTAGTTTCTGCATATCATGACACATTTTGTAATTTATTTAGTGGACAAAATAATAATCTCTAAGGACTCCTTAAAGAAGCTATGCAACGATATGATTCCATACAGTTTTAAGTCTATTTCTGACATTAACTTTACAAAACTGAATTCGATTTCGTTTCGTCTTGTTGGATGTTACGGAAATCATACTTTGATTGCAAAACTATTGTTAAATAAAAATATTATTAACCAACAAATGTATGTAATTTATTCACAATGAAAAAAAAAATTAGTTTATTAATTATAATAAAGAATATTAACTATCCTTGTCATTTAGACACGATTTGCTTATAGTTCCTCAATCTTCCACGAACAATGCAAATCAATCTTCCTTACGTCCGGGTATTTACTTATTAGTTGTAAATCCAGATTTAGGCTTAGTTATTCATTGGCCTGAAACAGGGTGTTATGAGGAAAATGCTTCTCCGCAACATAAAAAGAACATGACTAATCTTCATAGGTATTTTATGAGTTGATGATTTATCCACGTGGTAATTTAGTTCGTAATTACAATTTATCAAATACTGTAGATATTTGACAAAGCTTACCGACAATCAGATTTGCCTTATGAGTGATAAGGACTTGGAAAATTTTGATTGGCATTTAGACGATTCCGATGTCGATTCTGACGATGATGATGGCGCCAGCTATGAATTTGAAGTTAAGAAAAGTCAAGAAGAACAAGAAGATTTTAAAATTCATCCAGGCTTTGAGGTTCTTTTTGAGTAGCCTTATTATACTGCAAATTAAATTTTTCCTTGAAAATTAATCTAAATTATTAATTATAGGTAAATTTATCTGATAACGTCAAAACTGAAATAAATAACAATATACAAGATGATGTACCATTATGTCCAATTGGTAATTTACATAATTTGTAATACCTTTAAGTTTTGATACATATTTAAAAATATATATATTTTTTTTATAATAGTGGTCGAATCAACAACAAATCAATCATTTGTAACTCGCAAGATGATGAAAACAGCTAAAACATTAAGTAAAAGCACCTTAACTTTTTCGGCGAGTGTACTTTCGACTGTTTCTACAGAACTTTATAAAAAGCTTCAAGGACGTAGTTTATATATTAATCGTGAATCAATGGATATGAAACAATTGGAATTGTTGATTAACAACGGATTCAAAACAGAGAATGAACTCTTAAAACCATTTCATGATGCAATAGCCGTTGCGAAATTGCAAATAGAAGTAAAGAAAAATCAAGAAAAAGATGCAGTGAAAAGAGATGCAGAGATCATTTCCAAGATGGCATGGAAGAAATTAGAAGATTCTTACAGGTATTGCAATAAGAAATATATAAAAATGTTGAAATTTTTTATAATCATAAATAATTTTTTAGTATAATCGAGTCAAAAATTAATGGCGGAAACTCCGTTTCTCAAGAAAAACAAGATGAAATTATTAGTGAAGAAGGTAATAATAATATACTTTCCGAAATAACTAAGATTCGAAAATTCAAAAATATTTACTATTAATGTTTTTAAAAAATGTTACATTTAGATGTTAACAGAATTCAATCAAAATATCCCAAGATCGAAGAGACAACTAAAGAAAAAATTAAAATTAATTCTCAAGCTTGGTATAAGCTGAAAAAGAGATATGCTTTAGCATGTATTGTCTTATTTCAAGTTCTCAACTTATCATCAGATAACGACAAATCAGGAAAAATTGCAGAATCGGCAATTCAAGATTTTTATAATATGTTTGTTGATAAAGAGAATGATATATACGCACTAGTTAAAAAATATGAACGACAATCTCTCTTTTTTTCTATATTATCCACAATCCGAGAGAAAATTACATTTGATTATTCACGCATAAATCAAATTGAGGAGAAATGTAAAAATTTTGCCAAAAACAAACCAGATTCTGAGTTTGTTCGAGACCTTATAGATTCTCGATTTTTTGGAAAATTTATCGATATAAAAGAAAAAGTAGTGCAGACTTTCTTGAATGAATACCAAAAGTGGAAAAGAGACACTTTCCCAGATAATGTTAGAGAAATTGTTCCAAAATATTCCTTTAACAAACAATTAATGGATAGAATAAATGAAGAATATTCTCGAGAAAGAAAAGAAATTGAGAATCGTGAATTCGAAAGAATCTGTAATAAATTAGAAGAAAAATATCATGATGGGTTAGTTATATGAAATTATGATTAATTTATTGTATCTTCTCAAGTGATTAATCATTATGATTATTTTTAGACCCCTACGTTTGAATATATTAAATGTTACTACAGGTAAATCAATGATTAATCAATTATCTAAAATTTTATAATACTCCAATCTTCTTTTTTTAACAGATGATCGGTATGGAAAGTCATTCCGCTTAATTCACGAGTTAGAAACAACTCAACCAAATCAATTAAAAATAACTATTTACGAGACATCATTAGAACAGTCAGATGTATTACAAATTCAAGATAATGAACTTTATATACCAACTCCTATTTTGTCTTCGCGTCAATGTGGCATCACTTTTCAAATTGATCCTGCAGTTTACGATTTCAGGTAAATAATATTTTTTTATTACATTAATAATGTTAATAATAACATTAATATTATTATTTATAATTACAGAAAAATATCTCAATTCGATAATCGTAAATTTCTTCTCGTACTTTACAATAAAAAAGAGAAAAGAATTGAAATATTCTTTGATACCGCCCAACGATTAGCACAAAATTTTAAATCGTATTCAATTAAAACGTTTAAAACATTGAATATAGATGACAATTTTCTTATGGCAATTAATGAGCCAAGAGAATTAATTGCTATATATAATACAAAAGAAGTTAAGGTATTTATCAAAGAAAAAAAAATAAGACTAGTTATTTATTAATTAAATATTTTCTTGTTAATTAAATTTTTTTTTTTAAAAAAAAAAATAAATAGTTAAATGTATTTTCTTTTGGTGATAATCGGTCAAATTTGTACGGACGTAATGCAAATATTCAGTTATTGCAGTGGTATAATAATAATATACCAAATATAAAATATTTCCTCTTTATTAAAGATACTGAGGAATTGTGTTTTGTTGAAAAAAGTGGTCGAGCACGTATTTTTAATCTTGTGAATCAGCAATTCCGACCGGCAATTTGTAATCTTCCGTCAAATACAGTAAACGTTTTAAGTTCCCCTGATGGCTCTTGCATTGTAGCATTCACAAAAGAAAACATAGCAGTTGATAACCTTACTGATAGTGATGATGAAAGCGGTGAAAAAAGCGAAGAAGAAACTGAATCGACTTCTGATAAAGCTGATGTCAATGATGTTAAGGAACTATGCCGTGCCTATGTTTATTTTTGTTCGAATTTTGGAGATTCTGTTAGTAAAAGTACGTGATTTTTAAATGTTTGTTATATATATTTAAACTTAATATGAAATTACGCTTAACTTTTTCTACTACTTTATTTTATAGTAATTGATTTACCACCGAACCTTCGATATTTGGAATTTTTAGAATTCACTTGTATTAATAAATGCCAAACTCATTTGATGTCACTTGACTTACAAAATGGATGGTTTAACTCTGCAATAATCAAAATTACACTTGAGAAAACTCAATATCGTTTTCAAGAACGCACGCAAAGACAATCTATCGGACGTGTGAAATTAATTGATCCTTCTCTTATTGAAGGGCAAAATACACACTTTAAAAGAAGTGTTCAAGTTGGCGAAAATATTGTAATAATGGGTGTAAAGTACAGTATAATTAAAGTTCTTTCGGACACAAAATTAAAGGTTGCCGGTAATTCTAAACCATCAAATGGATTTGATAAATGGACCGATTTCCGTATTGAACCTAAGACAAAACTAAATGGTCTTATTGATGCCTATAAATTAATGTTTGATAAGTATCCAGTTGAAAATTGTATTGATCCTGGACAAAATCGTCCTCTTAGTTTAAAAATAGTTTTAGATGATGTTGTTGATGATATCGAAAAATACGGCGATAAATTTGAAGATTATATCATCGAAATATTTGAAAATTTGAAACGTTCTACAAAAAAACCCGCCTCGATATTAAAAAAGTTTTCTACCTCAGTTATTACTTTCCAAGAACTTGATATTGAAAATGCGAAGTTTCAGGAAAAATTTTCAACAGAATATGAATTGGGCGAATGGGTTATTCAACTTTGTTGTTTAATTCCTATACAAATTGCTGTCGCAAAAAATAATTTATTTCAGCCACTTAGGGATGGATTATCTTCGAATGAGATTGATCAGGTTGAATTTGATGATGGTTATGGTCATCATGTAGATAGTATAACGAAAAACATCTCTTTTGGATGGTACGAGGGAATTTTCAAACATTTTGGGGATAAAAAAATTAAAGTTGTTTCTAGTATGGGCGAACAATCATGTGGAAAATCATTCATGCTAAATCATCTTGTTGGAACTACCTTTGACGGTTCTGCGATGGTAAATACAATGTTCCCCCCTTTTTTAAAAAAAATCTTTTAATAAAACCTATTTTTTCATTTTTTTAGCGTTGCACTGAAGGTGTATGGATGTCGTTAGGTAATGCTTTAATCAATTTATTTATGTTCTGTACTTCAGTTCCTTTATCGAAAGTTACCAATTTATTATTTTGTAGTAAATACAAATGAATATATTTATGTTGCACTTGACTTTGAAGGCTTAAAATCTCTTGAGAGAACTCCACAAGAAGGTATATTTACAATTTTATTATGAATACACAAAACTATATTTTAACGAGCCAGTTGGAATAACCAATTTTTTTTCTTTAGATTTATTTTTAACACTTTTTAACACAGTCGTATCAAATCTCATACTCTTTAAGGTAGACATTTTTAGTAATTTATTACTTTTTATTATCAAATTATTATTAATATAAATTATAACTTCAAACAGAATCAATTTGTGATAAATAGGGATATGTCAACAATGTTTCAACGGTTTCAAGATGGCGCAACGCTATTTGAGTCTGACTCAAAAATATTTCAAGTATTAGTTAAACATTTTTTATAATCTTTCAAAAAAAAAAATTGAGTTTATTAATGGTTTTTAATGATTTTAGGCAAAATTATGTATTATAATAAAAGATGTACCCAAAAATGATAAAGATGAAATTGTTAGAGAATTTAAATCAAAATTTTCTCAAATAGTTTCGGAGGTATATTGATCTTTCATTATTGTTTCACTATTTTTTTTTTTTTAATTGTTTTTTTTATGTTTTTTTTTTGTTTCAATTTTTTAGGAGGGCGAAGACAATTTCATTTCAAGGATGTACAAAGGAGGATTAGATATTATTCCTTGGCCTATGTTTAATGATGCTGCATGGTTTAAAACCTTATCTACTGTTAACAAAAAGTTAGATAAGCAAGAAGTTAAATATGAAAATGCTAGAACTTTCTTACAAAGTACTAAAGTAATCATGGCTAAATTGAAGGTTGTAAACAATGCGTCTTAATGCTGAAATTCTTTTTCCTTTGATTAATTTTTATATTTGAAACTTAGATATGTGATTGGGGTTCATTGGACGAAAACCTCATACAGATTCGTGTTGCAACATTAAAAAGATTACTTCCAACTGTCGTTTCTTATGGCTTGGAGCAAAAAGACTCTGTTACTGAACAACTTACGGTAAACGATCTTAATTTACTACTTACATTTCAACTTTTTATAAACTGGAAGTTTTTTTGAATACTTTTCATTTTAATAGAATCATGATACTGGAGAACACATCGATGACCCTGTAGTTAGCTTATCTGACATATTACATGACTTTGAAAAATCTATTGAATTACTACCAGATTCTGATATCCAGTTATATGAAGAAAATGGATCTTTTGAACGACTTTCTGAAGATTTAAGGTGTTACTTTGAAGAAATTGTGCAACCACGAAGAGAATCATTAGATGATATCATGTGGTTCACAAACTGTGACAAATTTTTCAAATATATTATTGAACGTCGTGTTTTGCGTGTCCGAAACTGGTATATGCAAAATACTGCCAAATTTCCACAAGATAATAGTGACATTGTTAATGGAAATTATTTAATGGAACAAGAAATAAGTAAACTAACACTTTTCTGGACTTTGTGTGGATTAACATGTCATCAATGTAACTTAAAATGTGTAAAAAATCGTGATCATCAAGAAAATCATGATTGCTTAACCGATCATAAGTGTCACTTCCTTTGCCATTTTATTGAAGCCCACAACAACAGGTTAATCCCAGTGTGTAGTCACAAAGCTGGACATGAAGGGAAACATGCTTGTGACAAAATTAGTCATTTATGCGGTAAACCATGTAGTCTTATTGACAAGCGTAATTGTCAAAAAGTTTGTTCAAAGGAAATTGGACATGATGACGGTGAACATTTATGTCAATCAAAACGGCACTATTGTGGAAAAGATTGTTCATTATCGACGCATACCATAAAAGGAGATTATCATTGTCCAAATAAATGTATTATATCATATGAAGAACAACATAGTTCACACCGTTGTGAAAATGAAACTTGTCCAATTCAATGTCCAATCCCGGATTGCAAGGAAAGATGCCAAAGTAATGATCATTTTCATTCCGACTTACAAGTTGATCATTTTTGCGGGTACGTATGTTGTGTAATGACTTGTCCGCTTGCTATTTCATTCCATTTATTTTTATTTATTTTTTTAAAAAAATGAATTCAAATTTTATATTAAGAAACGAACATCAATGTCAAAAATTTTGCGAAGACGATGGTATATGTAAAGTAACAACTGAACCTAAGAGACAAGAAGAAGTTTATAAAGGTTTAGTCAAAGAAACTTCTATAGCATTTACAAAGGTATATATTACTGTAAATTGATACTATTGAAACAAAAATGTACTGACTTTTGAATATAACCAATAGTATACTCAATCAAATGAAAGACTAAGATGTATCAAAAAAATTCCTCCGAATAAATTTGAACATACCGGGAAACACACACATGGGGAAGATAGCTTTCATTTTTGCGATGCAAAGTGTCAATTCTGCGAATATTTTGTATGTATTAACCAAAAAAAAAAAGGCATAAACCTATATTTATATTTAATTTATTTCCAACAATTATAATCATTTGAAAATTAGTGTACTTTACCTTATGGGCATAAACAAATTCACGATACAAGACATGGAAATATGACACAAACTGAATTCACTGGAGAAAGTAATGAATTTGAATATGCAGGGTTAATACATTCATTCGCAATATTAGCAAGTTATTAATGTTGGTATATTAATAATACTAATTGGTAATATCTCTAAATTATTAGACATAAATTAAGGGTCGGAGATCAAGGAGTATTTGTCCTTTGCAATTTGGTAAGTACTACATAAATTATAAAATTTAATAAATTCCTACTTTAATCCCAAAAAATTTTCCTTTCTATATTAGCATTGTAAAGATTTAGGTAGACATCGTCATATTGATTATTGTCAGAATGCCGAAAATTGTAAATTGGGGAATCAAGGTCAAGATATACAACATATTAATGGTAATTTCAATTTTTGTTATTTTTGTTGAACTCTTCCTATTATTTGCTAATTATTTGATTAATTTTAGAGAAAGTTCAACCTAATCCTGATAATCCAAAAGATTTCATTTCTCACAAACTTTTCTGGGAGCGTACAGGTTTCAAAGGTATAACATTTATAATTTAATTCCTACGTGCTCGCTCCTTTAATGTAATAAATTTTAACAGTTTTAACATATTTTCTTTATATTTAGATCCTTATTCTGTACAAGAACAACAAGAATTTACAAAATGCGATCACGAATGTTCTGATGAAAAGCATCATAAGTCTCAAGGATCAAATGCCCCCCCTCCAACTAAATCATTTTGTGAATTACAACTTTTTCACGCTCCACTCAATCCAAGTTCAAATCCTCCAAATGATTATGGATATATATCTTTAGATGGGCATCATTTTGATTGCGAAAATCCGAGTACACGCGAAGCTGTTTTTCATATTATTTTTGTATTGGATCGCTCGGGATCTATGAGCTGTAATGATAAAAAACCGATTCCAAATTTCCCAATTTATAATGATTTAATAAAAAATCATAATAATAGGACTGGGGCAGTTTATCAAGCGGTAAGAAATAATCATGAGTTTTTCAGTTTTACTGAATGATTTCTATAAACTTAAATTTCTATTCAGGTCTATCAATTTATGGACGCGCGTATAAATTCTGCCACAACAAATCAAAACCAAATGTCAGCTACTCAAGATAGTATTTCATTAATATTATTTGACCATGAGGTTTTTTTTAATTATACTTTTATCAATATTTTAATTTAAATTCATACTTACTTTAAAAGACGCGCTAATCATCAAAATAATCCCAGGTTATCGTTCCATTTGAATATCGAGATTTAACAGACCCGAAAGATTTGTTAAATTCAATGCTCCAACACCAAGCTCGTGGTGGGACAAATTATGATCTTGCAATTCAGAAAGCTGGATTTTTGATCACATCTTACTTTGATCCTACGAAGTATGTTTAGATTTTTGCATTAATTTAGAAATAATTTCAAGTATAATTTATATTTATTTCTATTACTTTAGAGTGAATATCATTATCTTCTTATCTGATGGACTATGTGGCGTCCCATTTAATCAACTTCATACTATTTGCAAACAAAATAAGACGAGAGGGTGAATGTTATTCATTTTTTTCCAAGACATAGACAAATATAATTTTTACTAATTTTATCAAAATTTTTAGATCTCCGTTATACCTTTATACGGTATTGTTCAGCAGTGATGCGCGTAGTCATTCTTTAGAAGAAATGGCAAAGATTGCTCAATCATATCATCCACAGAATTCATCATCTGGTGCTCTTAGATGTCAATTCACTCGTACTGTTAACGAAGTAACCTTAGTTAACCATTTTACTGGTGTTGCGGAAAGTTTAAGGAAACACAAACCCGCATTGTTAAAGAAAAATCTTAATTAGTAATAATACATTATAAAATTTGACGGTGGGTATGCTAAAAAGGAGGTTCATCATTTTACAAATTATACAAGTTACGATTTATAACTTTATATAATTCTGAACAAATTCATATTTTAATAAAGAAAGCAGAGAATTTTGAATAAAATAAAATTTTTTGTCACATTCATAAAAGGATAACGTTAATAAATATCATAATACATTTTTAGGAATATATACACATAAAATGATATGATCAAGGTGATTTGGATTATATCAGCCCTTTCTCAGTTATCACCGAGTGAACATATTTCAATGAGCAAACTGACAATATCACGTGATTATTCTGTAAAATTATTGGACCGACACCCAACAAGTTCTTGGCAAAAAATTTGCCAGTTATTGTTGTGAACCATAGTGAAGCAATTATTTTTTTTTTCAACTGTTTCACCTTTTTTCTCCAGCTTTGGTGGGGCCAAACTCAATGGAGAAGACCATTACCTTCGAGGATCACTCCTCTAAGTCGCGCTGAAAGAAAGTAGATTTGTAAGTTTTGAGCGATGGATGAGAGAGAGAAAAGAAATTTTCTTCGCTCCAATTTTCTATGTGAACGGATATTATTTGACAATTAGGAGGACGAGTTGAAACCAAAGGAAAAAAAAAAGGTAGATAACGAAGAAGTACGTGGTGGTAAAGAAAAGATATGGATTATGAGAACAATTTTCGCGTCGCGTCTGACTGGAGGATTTGTCTAAACTCAAAATATTGATAAATTAATCGCATAAATTTAATATTCTATATGTCTTAAATTTCCGTTGCATTCTTATGTCATGTTGAATTTAGCCATCAAATTATAGATTTTTATGGATTTTAACAATGTCATTATAATTAGGGAATCGTGCATAACATTCTTTGATTCTTTATTGACAATTTCAACAAACAGATGATTAAAGTATGATAAAAAAACAGTCCTATATTTGAAATATAATAAAAACACAGTAATTACAAAAATAGACTGTTATATTGCTTAAAATATGAAAGATAATGTTATAAAAGTTATTACGATTTTAGAGAATACTGCAACTAGAGTTTTGAATTATAATAATCAGTAAATTAAAATTAATAATAGAATATTGTTTTAAGTTTATTTAGTATATATGGTTTTTTGTGCTATAATATTTCATAAAATAAATATTTTATAATTAGCATTTGTTTCAAATATCTCAACAGGCTTTATTAAAAAGACTTTATCACAACGGATCTGGAGTTGTAAATTCATTATGTGCGTTTCATGAATCTATCACGAAAATTTAAGTGCTTTGAAATTATCATAGAAATTGCCTCTTGTCACGAAGACAAAAATTTCTATTATGCAAGACCAATAAATAATAAATTGATATTATCATAATGCAAATGATGGAATATAGTTGGTTAAAAGAAAAAAAAATCAAAGTAGTAGAGTAATAGATAAAAAAAATAAAGAATTTTTCTAACCATCACCGGGTGATGATCACCGGTGACTGAAATTATGACGATCGACCAGCATTAAAAAATATAGTGCCGGTAAAAATTGATAATTCTGGCCAACGGGGATAATCACTCCCGGTGATTTTAAGTAAAAATCTGTACTATTTCGAAGGAAAAAAACAATTATTTATTTTTAAAGGTAAATAAAAATATTCTTTTATACTAGTATGTTTATAAATTGGCGAACAAACTAAACTATAATTACTACTTAATTCGAATTTTCAATTTTTACCTTTAAAACGATATAATACTAAAAGGTGCATTTATTAGTCAAAGAATCATATAACTTTAAGTATACTGTATAATTCAGAAACTTCTTAAAAGACAAATCGTATAGCCAAGTATCCTCAAAAGTGAACAAATATGGAAATCAAATAAAAGTGATTGCTAGTAAAGTTTCTTTACATTTATTTTAAAATTAGATATAAATTAAAGGTACGTTTCTCGATATGCCTTTTTTTAGCCAATAAAATATTTATTTCCAAACGATATAGTCCCATTAAATCGTAAGCGCAAGGCTAATGAACAGATGCTTGGGAAAGTTTTTGGAATAGTCACTGACGCTGAAAATTTTATTTCATAGAATGCTCGAAGATAAGCCAAGCTTCAAATTATCGGAACTGGTGGTCGTTGTAAAGTTCTCAGCCACATTGTTTGGCTATTGGAGGAGGCGCAAAAGTCAGACTCTGCTGCTACTGTAAGTAACGAGAGGGAAATAAAAAGGGTGAGGTAATTGAGCAATCTTGCGGAAAAATCAGATACTGTAGATAGATCGTAGGTCTTAGTATAAAAATTCGTCATACTGTATATCACGGGCGAAGTTGTATTTATTTTATTTAGCACTTCGTTCACTTGTATAATGGGAAGATTCCCAAATTTGTATTTATCTTTTATCTGTATTAATAAAAAATTTTCTTAGCAAAATTTATATTATGGGACCATTTACACGCTAACACGCGCACATTCGTGAAAAATGGTATAAAATATTAATGGCAAAATTAATTTTAGATATTGCTAAAGAAATAGTGTGTAACCATGCTACCTGTTCTGCGCACGATAATAGAGAAGGTGAATATCTTTCCGAAAAATATGTCAATAGTAAGACCCATGCTTTGGATCATTTATGATTTTATGGTCTGCAAATCTCACTAATAGTAAAACATTAGTGCCCGTGGTATGCAGTTGAAAATCGTCGCACCCAAAAAAAGGGTCTTTGCCTAAGGATGTTCTTATTGTCAAAGGTCAGGCCAAAAATGTACCTCAGTCCAAAAATATGGTAAACCACTAAACCACGATATAATATTGACTTAGCAAAAAATATTGCACAAGAGCGAGGTGGTATAAATAGAATGAACACCCTCGAGGACTAGAACTCGACATCTACTATCCACAGTTTGGATTTGCTAGAAATACAAGGCAAACAACATGAGCAACATGTAAAACACTTTCATAAAGACCCGGTAAAATTTGATGCATGTTCAGATCAAAAGGAACTCTGTGAAGAGAATGGGATTTGCTCTAAGATATGTTTGGTATTACGAGGATCCATACGTAGTCATTCCAAATCATCTTTGAGAGTTGGGTCTTGTTGGATAAAAAACTTGAGATTTCACTCATTTATTCGACTATAATTTTATTCATCCGGAATTACGCAAAAATAGAATAAAAATTCTCAAGCACACATAACGCGTCGACCGCGTCGTATACATGTTAAAAATCACAATCCCAATGTGAGCTCAAACAAATTATTAATATATTTGTTTAAACTATCTACACTAATGTTATCAACACTAACTCCATGATCCGATTTCTTGTCGCGATATTTTATTCTGTAATTTGGTAAATTTGGTAATTTATAACTTTTTTTTAAAAAAAAATGACCTTAGAGATTAAAGCGCAAATGAGGGTCAGGACTAGGATTTGTCCCATTTTGAAGTTGTCTATTAGATTAAATAATGATAATCTTTAAATTCCAGCCAGAGCTCTCACCTTCATATAAACCCCTCATACCGATATAATAAAATATCATAGAAACAATTCTATCCCAAAATAACCACTTGCCCTAAACTAGCCTTCGCGCACTACAAACCTTTCCCGCGAGACAAATCTGTGTCCCCACAAATTCCTCCTTTCTGCCTGTGACGCTTCCATAACTGGGCAAATTCATAATTAGTTATTATCAAGTTTGCGCACGAAAATTCCATCCATAACGTAGAATTTATACCAAACATTTTGGCGCTGGTAAATTTTTTCGAGCAGTGTCACTTTTTATAGTCTTAAACAAGAGGTATTAATATATTAATACCTCTGTATATATTAGTAAAAATATATACAACTTGGTATTCAACTATTATGAATTTTCTTTCTTACTAAATCAAGCATTATACATATAAATAAAGATTCTATTAAAATGTCAAAAACCATGTCAAATATTTAATTTGTACAAAATCTCGTTAATTCACCTATGTTTTGGAAAGTTTAATAGTATTAAACAAGAAATTCTAAATAATTTCTTTAAAAAATACCAAAATTGGAGAATCCCAATAGCATAAAAAAAAAATCACCTAGAATTTCATTCAATAAACAATTATTAGAAAGATTAGATAGAATAAGAGAAAAATATCAAGATGGATTAGTCTTAATTTATTAATTATAAAATGATTTGATGATTTTATTGAAACTTTTTATAGACCTTTACTATTGTATAATAATAATACATATTACATACTGACTTTCAAGTTTATGATTTAGTGTATATAAATAAAAAATAATATTAACTTATTTTCTGTAGAAAATATTTGATACAAAAAAATAGGGTGAGTTTAAGAAATTATGTTTTAAGTTCTATCGTTTATTAATTACTATTAATTTAAAAATATACAGTTACTGCCATAGTATTGTGATATTATCCCGAATATTCAACACATCTTATTTATTAAGGATATTGTTTTTGTTTAAAAAAAATGGACGCGCACGTATATTCAACCTTATAAATCAGAAATTTAGACCGACAGTTTGTAACTTTCCATCAAATATACTAAGTCCTTCAGATAGTTTATTTGTAAAAAAAAGTGATGAAATGATTATTAGAATTCCTACAATTTATTTGTATAATAAGTCACAAATTCATATAAAGTCATTTAGATTTAAGAAATTACTTTGAAAAAATTTTACAATCACGAGAAGATATGTCTGATGAAATAAAACAAGTGGTTTGAAAATTTTGTTAAATTCTTAAATTACGTTTGTTGAGCGTCGCATTTCACGCGTTCAAGAATGATATGTGCTTAAAAGAAATAGGACATCCTGATGGTGTCAATCAACGTCATTATCGTGAAGAAAATTATCAACACATACCACCGTAAAAGGAGATTATCATTGCCTAAATAAATGTACGATTTACACCGTTGTGAAAATGAAACTTGTCTAATTCAATGTTCAATTCCAAGTTGCCAAAAGAAAATGTCAAAGATCATTTTCATTCTTATTCAAGGAATGAGCATCAATGTCATTAATTATTCGAAGATGAAGGTATATGTAAAGTAGTACTTGATTTAAAAAACATTTCAAGGAACGTTTACAAAGGCATAATTTTAATGTATAAAGTTATTAAAGTTTAATTGATTTCCTTTTATTAGTATGTTTATTAGTGGTTAGGATGTTGAATTTGAAACACATACACATAATGAAAACGGGTTTCATTTTTGTAAAGCAAAATGTCAATTCTGTGGATATTTCGTATGTATTGTATATTTGTAAAAAATTTCATTTATATAAGTCGATATTAGCATTGTAAAAATTTGATATTTTATATTCATTACTTTATCTCTTAGTCGAAACTTTCATTAATAACAATAAAAATTATAAAACAAGTTCAACCTAATTCTGATAGATCAAAAGTTTTCATTTCTCATAAACTTTTCTGAGAACAGGCTTCAAAGGTATTTTAAACCATATTCATAAAAATTGCAAAACTCTATTTACCTATAATAAATACATCCATTCCTCTATCTTAATTTCTAGATTCTTACGAATTTCAAAAAGCCAAACAAAATTGTAGGTTAGGTGTGTTATCTTTATAATAGTGTTTGTTTGGAGTAGCTTAGGGTTAGGGTAAGGAGAGTTGATTTATTTATTTATTTTTTTTTTAAATAGTAACGCGTTTTATTAATTATGTTAATTTACAAAATTTACATATTTAAAATTAAACACCTAGAGCTTGAAATTTTCAAACCCTATAACTAAGTATTTATCGAACTATAACTAAATCTATCTAAAATTTAACGTGTAAAATAAAAAAAAAAAAAAAAAAAAAAA